GGATATATCCAGCTCTGTTTGAGCTTCACAGCTGATTAGTTTTCCACATTCAGTCCAACATAGCATCATACCAGCTGTGACTAAGAGAGATCAATTGTGTACTGGACATTCCGATTTCATATGAAAAAGCACATACATTTCTTCCCTGGACAGGGCTCAGGCACATTGCAACATCTGAGAAGCGCAGCCTTGAGTATTTAAGCCAGGAGTCTTGCAAGACATCTGCATGACTCTGCAAACTCCCCTCAATATCCAAGGAGGGAGGCGGTTTGTTCATAGCCCCTGGTATTTGAGTAGTAGGTTCTCTGGCAAAACCAGCCTGTAGATGTGAACGTCACTCTGCTGTTCAAAATGGGCTTTGGCTGTATATTGGCTCCCTCATGGGATGGGTGGAAACCTTTTTTTCTTGGCTCACTTAGACCTTTGTTGGATGGAGTTTAGGAAACAAGTTGTCAGGAAAAACCCTTTCCCCCTCGCCCCTTTTAAAGCCTGGTGGAACTCTCTTTAAGAGCGCTCACCTCTTGCATAGCACAACTGAAAATGTCCTAAGTTGTGTAGCCTAACTCCTCTCCTGTCCCCAAGTTAGGGACCATCTCTTTTTTTTTTATCTTGCTCCTTCCATTTATCAATGCCCTGATTCTTAAGCATTATGAAGCATATTTGCCAGGACAGATAAAGCCATAGAGCTTTCTGAATTCGCGGGCAACAGAATTGCTAAATAGCAACCCAGCTTGAAAGGCTCAAGGCAGGTCACAATGATCTTGAACCCAAGTTTGGGTTTTATTTGCACACTTGCAAGTAAAAGTGTTGAATAGACAATAGTGGTTAAACTCCACTTTTTAATACCTTAGGCCAGTGGTTCTCAACCTTTTCTTCACCATGGACAGATCCCTTTTAAATCCCTTTTGTGGCTATGGGTCATGGCCACAGACTCCCCCCACCCAAGACTTAAGATTTAAATCATAACATTTCTTCAAGCCTTCATGGACCTCCTGTGATGATATTGCAGTCCCCCAGGGGTCCGTAGGTCACAGGTTGAGAACCACTGCCATTGGCTATGTCTCTACATCATGGAGATGATGTTCTTTGAAATTAATCAGCCCATAGCAATGGGTCCCTTCTCTTGTGTATAGCCTTCCCCAGGTAGCAATTCCATAATTCTCAACAGTGGCCATGAAGACTAGGGAATTCTAGAAGTGGGAACGTACACATTTAGAAGGCACTTGGGCCAAGGCAGGATGCCATTATGATGTTATTTCTCAGACTGACAAAGTTTCAGGAAATGATTTTGTAAACAATCAGTGACAAGCTTTTCTATTATCAGAGACCTATCACTTCATCAGTTCACAGGAAGAGAGTCGGTTAGAAGATATAGAAGTCATGGGGTTTTTTTTTTTTTTTAGAAAACAGTTCCGTTGCCTAAATTCTCTAAGAAATCTTGCTGAAGAGATTCAGTGAGAATCATATTTGGAAAAGAGTTGTTCTTGCTTCAGGCAGATGCCAGGAGCTTGGTAACATGTAAACTTAACCATCAGGTTGAACCTTCTGTATGGCACAGTAACATGCTCTATGTTCTTGCTGCCTTTGTTGATTGAGGTCAGTCTTTGTTTTACAAATCCAGGCATCAGTAAACAGATGCCATTGTTTTTCCTTTAGCAGATGGCTAGTTAGTGTGAAATCTTTTGGTGAAGATGGGAAATCAAAGCCTTTCCCAAATGTTCCATCAGCTCCAGCCAACAGAGCCAGTAGCCATGATTAATAACCTAAGAATATGTGGAAGAATATCTTCTCTCATTTGGGTGCAAGCTGGCCTGGACTTTTTCCATAAGGTACTTCTGATCATCCTTCTGCTAATTGTCCCTCCGGCAGCACAACCCAGGAAAGTCCATTCAGACAGTCTTATCTAGGGCCAGTCCTCTTGCCTGTAATAAAAAGGCTAGGCTGAGGTAGTCTGAAGATTTCATCATCAACAAATGATGATTAGACTTTTTTTTGCTTTCATTTCAAAGGGAAGATTTCCTGCCTCCTGCCCCCCTCATTATATCTGGGAAGGATGTTCTGTTCTGTTTAAGCACCTCAGATAGTGAGAAGTTGACCCAAGGACATTAGCTGAAGTATAGAGATTTCAAGCAGAAGCTGGGATAAAACAATGCAGACCTCATTTGAGCTACTTCTCTGAGACCTCCTCAATCTGCCTTCTCTCTTTGTTGACTTCTTGTGAGACACCCAGTAAAAGGAAGAAAAAAAAAACACCTCTTGTGCTTCCAGCTGCCAGCACAGATTTAACAGAAAGTAACTCCTTTGAAATGTGGGGTTTCTAGGTAAGAATACCTATGATCAGCTTGTCAACTATATGAACTAAATTCATGAATTGTATCCTTCTGTTTCCATGGCCATATACAGAAAGTCTTGTTAGGGTAGAACTGCTGTGGATAATGCAGGTCGGGATTCAGGATCAGAACCACTTCCAATGCATTTCAGTAAGTTATTGATTTGGTTTCGCCATGGAGAGTTTGGGAAGAGAATGCAGACTTGTATATGATCCCAGTGTGTTCTAAATGGTCATCTGGAAATTCAGAGCATTCCAAGGGGGCTGTTCATTGTCATTAGCTTTATGGCATTTCCCTGCCAATAAAGTCTTAACATTAACAGAAAGAAAAAGACTTGTGGTTCCAACATATACCACTATTCGCAACTCAGTTACCTCTTTAAAACCTTTAGAATCCTGTAAAATTAAGGGTTCACTCATATTTCCGTGAGTAACACATGATCTACATAGATTATAGCATCATAAAAATTATCAGTTCGTTTTATAGCATGCTTTTCTTCTCCCTGTCAGATTAAAATAAACCAGGTATTTAAGCATAAATTAGGCAGCATTCCTTAGAGTTTATTGCAATCCCGCATCCCTAGTGTTATTCCTCTCCCCTGACTCAAGTCCCGTTGCCATCCAGAGAAGCTCCCGGCATATGGGATATTTTTCAAGAAAGTTCTGGCAAGGATGTTGGAAAGGCAGCAGAGCCAGCCCCAGTCAAGTTGTCAGTTGAGGCAAAGGAGAAGATGGCACTCTTCCTCTTATTCCTTGACCAAAAACAGATGGGAGTCCAGGAGGGAATTCAGTGCAAAGAGCACCAGCCTTATCCACTGCAGATGAGGTCCAAAAATGGGTTTGGGTTACAAGGAAACTACCTCTACCATAGGCATCTGCCACCTTAGATATTGTCTTCTTCTGCCTAATGGTAGGGCTACCTTGGCTGACTGTCTGCCCTCCAAAGTAGATTCAACTTGGAAACCAAAGCCCCGCAAGCTAATACTATTTTTATTAAAAGTTAATAGAAGCAGAATCATGCAAGTCTGAATGGGCTTGCCTTCTCCCTCCTTTTATCTTCACGAGAACTAGAAGACAGTCATGTCTGAGAGGCTTTTTCAAATTACATTTCTTTCCTGGGCCCAGATTTCTTTTATCTGACATTGCCTTGATTGCAGCTCTTCTTCCTGTCCCCGGAGGTTATCCCTTCTGCCCATTACGTTGAGAAGCTGAAACGGTAAATAGACTTAGAAATCCAGTGTTGTTCAGGGTGTCCCTGGTTTCTTGCCTGTTGATAGAAGCAGGTGACTTACAAACCTAGCAGTTGCATTTTTGCAAACGTATTGAATTTGGTTAATTTACCACTTGGAAAATGTTTGGCGTGCTTTAATCCAATGGGCAAACCCAGAGCATTAAGTGTAACAAGTGAACACACACACACGCACGCACACCAGTCAATTCCATAACCAGGTTAAGTGCGTGAACATGACCAAAATTATGGTCATTCGCTCATCCATTTAATATCCTTGAGGAAAATGTGGAAGCTCTTGTGTGATGGGAAGGAAGGAAGAGTGCTGAGGCTCCAAAGACTTGGGATACTCCTATCTTGCTGCAGTTTCACCTTTACCACCCATCCTGTTCCACTTTGCTTGCAAGTTCTCCTGGGAATCAGAAGATAGTGCCAGCTGTAGCTGGGAGACTGGCAGGTTCCCAAGAGAGGGCAGAGAAGGTAACCAGCTTGTATTCTCCACCACAAGGCGCACCATAGCGTGGGTGTTTGAGGGTTAAAAATAGACGCCAGATCTGTTAATTTCTTTTTTTCTTTTCCCCGTTAGCAAATGTGGAGGAGGAAAACAGAGCACTGTTTATCAGCCCCAGCAGTTCCCCTCAGAGACACAGAAATTAGTCAGATTGGTGGAGAGCGTAATTGTGTGCTTGCGTACGTGTTGTGTTTCAGTCCTGGGACACAGCAGTACTATAGTCATTTCATAGTGAGCCAGGCTTATGGGAGCCTAAAAATATTTTTTTTAAGGGTCATACTGTGTCAGAGGCTTCTTGTCCCTCTTCCCCTGGGCAAGGTATAATGATATCTCATGCTGGGGTAGAACTCCTGTGCATTTCAGTGGGCCTGTGAGGGAAGATTATACCCCATGGATAAGGTGACTAGATGGAGAGGTATGTTGGGGCCCTGGTCCTTTTCACTGGTGGACAGAAGAGAATTTTTTAAGCAGGTCTGCATTTTGAGAAGGCATATGGAAGTCTCATCTGATTTTGCATCTGGTCACTCATCAGGACCAATTTGATGTCCTGCCATTTTAAATCACCTAAGTGCTATAAATCCCACCGCTGCTTTTCCCCCCCTTCCTCTGAAATTAACAATTAATCCTACACATGTTTTACAGGGTAAGAAGATTATTTTGTGGACATCAATATCCACTGAGGGACTAATTGTAGCCAAACTACAACTCCCGGCAGCTTACACCAGCATAACCAATGGACAGGGCCTTCTTAACAGCATTATGGGCCCCGGGCAAAGCAGTGTACTGGGACTCCTACGACAACTACTCACAGGAATAAAAATGTAAATGGTCAATAAAATTAAACATATATTTGCACGTTAGTATTAATTTAAAAATGCAGTCAAATGTAATAAATACGTTGCTGTATTTATATGATACAAGATGCATTGAAGGGTTAACGTACACAGATTAGTATGGGGCCCCTATGCCTGTGGGGCCCATGGGCAAGTGCCCATCAGGCCCATGCGTTAAGACAGCCCAGCCAATGGAGAGAGATGAAGAGTATTTAGAATTCAGCAACATCTGTAAAATCTCGGGTTCCCCACCTTCATTTAAACCAGTGTTTCCCAATCATGGCAACTTGTAGATGTATGGATTTCAAGCTCCAGAATTCTCAGCAACAATTATTTTGCTGAGCAATTCTGGGAATTGTTCAGAGGATCAGGGCTGGGGAACCCTTGTCTAAATTGGCAAGAGCGAGGGAAAATAGCCCCCGTATGTTCAAAGGCATTGAGTGACTTCACATGTCAATGCATTTCACGTGCGTTGTTTTAACCACGATTTCCAGAATAAGCCACAACTGTTACATTTCAATTTGCATGATTTTCTAAACAGAAAACAGGTTCCCCCCTCTGGCATAGCACAAGCATCGATCTGATCTCAATAGGCAGGTTGTGAGATGGATGCATTTCTGGATGTTGTTTGCCAATAGGAAACCCACATTATTTAAAACAGAATTAGGCCAGTATGTCCCATCGAGTTTTAAATCATTTTCTTCCAAGTCTCCAAAGAATCTCCTGACAGATTATTGGACGGTATTTGCCCTCTAGCGTGTGAGAAATCCAGTGCTACAACAGTTGCCTGGGCATGTATGTTCTTTACTTAGCCTCTTTCCCTCTTTGCTGCAAGTAAAGAGGCTTCCTGTTTGACTCAACAGGCCCACCGAAAAGGCCTCTCTCTGTGTTTGTTTGCAACAACTGAATGAGGCTGTTAGTAATTAAAGTACATGGACTTCCCAGAAAGTGGCTTAGACCGGATATCCTTCATCAAAATACCCTAGGCACCACTGCCTAAAAATAACTCCAGCAGAACAAAAACTAAATAAACATGAATGAGAAGAGACTCCCAGAGCTAAGCTGTACAAACTAGCTTCCTGGGGCAGGGTGTGGCATAGAGGGTGCTGCTGGCCCAGAACAGAAGGCAGGGTTAAAGAAAGGCAGCATGGCTTTGGAAGAGCTCCTCTTGCAAAAAGGCTTCATTTCAAGGTCAGCCTTGCTTTGAGGAACCCCAAAGTTCCCTAGAAAATAGTTTGAAAGCTGCTTTCAAATGCTTCCTTCAATTTGGATAATCAAAAATGACCTTCAGACATCTATATGATCACTAGATGGCAGCAAAGAGATAACATTTTCCAGTGTTCCCTTGGTTGCCATCTAATGGTTGTCCAAATTTTTTGCAGTCCAGATAAGGCCTAACCTTAATCAAAACCTTAATCCTTTCTCTGTAAACAAGTTGTCCTTATTTAGCAACCTTAAATGGTCACTGGCAACATTGTAACTGTGTGAATGGTTGCTAAATGAGGACTTCCTGTACGTGTTATGTGCAAATGAGAACCAAAGCAGAAACTCAGATCTGAATTAGGATCCTACAGAGCGGGATAGGAGAATACAACCAAAATCCCCACACATAACACTAACCTGCTTCCTAGAGTATAAAGGGGAAAATCAATTTATTAAAATTAGAACTTTTCTTGCAGTGCTGATACCAGAGGCGAGGACTCATTTAGATCAGGTGTGGAACCATGAACAGAGAGAGTGTTAACGGTTTGCCATCTGGAGTAAGGTCCCTATTATTGCTTACAGATAGGGCTTTCACTTAGATATTACAAAGTTACAGTATTGTATGTCATGACTGTTTTCCTCTTCCTCTTTTTTTTATTTTAGAATTGGATGCTATGATCTTCAAAGAGATATAAGCTGAATCATATTGTTTTATTTTTGAATCAGGATCCAAACTTGATTTTGTGGTCGGTGCATACTTTGATCCATGTTTCAGTGTGCCTGACAGTTACTGATAGCCTCTATTGTGAATTATGACTGTGAAAAAAAATGATTCTATCTTATTACTGAACTAAGGGGGAATGTCTCGTTATCATGGATCAGTCACCTGATTGCACTGAGATACCAAGGCCTCCCTTGATTCCTTCACCTTGATCAACTTATGAAATTGCCACGATGGAGCCAGAAATACTAATGCTCTCTGGACCTGACCTTGATGCTACCAGCATTAGCCATAACGACAGGTTGGGAACGGTGGGTAAGAGAGAAGTTACCTTGGAGAAATCACCAGCAAAATGCATGGAGAGAAATGAGTAGCCAGAAGCCGAAAAAGGGGCAGGATAAGAATTTTTATCCAGGAAATTTGCTTTTGTATACAATTATTAATGCAGGATCTGTGTTCCTCTTTGCATCACTAAAAGGACAGGATTAGGGAAGGAATGTGTATACTTTTGAACCCTTTTTTTCATTTTCTTTATTCAGCATACTTGGGATGAATAACCAATGCACACACTGACCCAGACACCTGAGTACAGTCCAAAGTGGTTCATGCCTTGTTTTTGTACAGTATGTCCCCATGTAGGTTAAACAGTCCTTGTAAATAACAGTGTGTTCTGCATACGTCTACTAAGATGTTCCACCTACTTCGAAAGGGCTTATTTCTAAATTAGCCTGTGATATTGTACTCATCTAACCTAATTGTAGATAAAGTTTTGCAATGTGGGTTGCCTTATGCAAACTGACTCTTTCAATCTTGCAAGGAAAAAGAAAATCATCACTTAAAATATTGTGAAAGTTCCATGTGTGCAAATACAGAAGATCATTGTGTGCTGGCAGGGGTTTTTTTTTCCATGGGTTTTGTGCATTGCCTCTAATTGTTCCCCACCACATTACTGTATTCAAGTACACTTGAAACCTAACACAAAACCGGTAAGATATGATGGAGGTAATAGCTAAGTGTCAAATAACAAATGCATTGCTTAATTGGAGTATTCTTGGTGACCAGTTAGGTATGTGGCCTGGAATATGTGAACAGGCTGGGCACATTTAGCAATGGGTTGCTTCTACTCCTCTTTTACCTCTCTAGCAGGATAACCTTAATAATCCAAGTCACTTTGGGCTAAAGGCTCAGAAGCAAGACCGTTACTCACTGGTTGAACCCTTAGGAGATCTGTTTAGGATAGAGGAGAAAGTTCTCCCTTAATAACTTAATAAAAGTTGCATTATACATTCATTGATATGAATGCTATTCCATCATGAAACCATGTATAGCATGGAAAGGCAGCAAGATGCTTAGCAATTGGTTGATACTTATGACTATTGCTGTGTCCCAAGGTCCTGTGATCCCTTTTTGCGACCTTCAGACCAGCAAAGTCAATGGGGAATCCAGATTCACTTAACAACCAGGTTACTAACTTATCAACTGCAGTGATTCACTTAACAATGGTGGCAAGAAAGGTTGTAAAACGGGGCAAAAGTCACTTAACAAGAGAAATTTTGGGCTCCAATCGTGCTCATAAGTTGAGGATTACCTGTATTAAAGTAGAAGATTAATCAAACCAGAAAGACAGACGGTGTTTTTTGGGGGACGGGGTATGTGTGTGAGTAAGAGAAGAATAGCTGCCTGCAAACCATGGCTTTCAAAAGAACATTTTCCTCTATGCCTCTACACTCAGAATAAAAAGTATGAAGCACAAGGGCAGTGCTGCAGGCATGTGGGTTTGTGGCCTGCAAACCCAACACATCTTATGGTTTTGCAGTACAACAGGCTACAAAATAAAGTGTTAAAATGTAACTAGAATGATTGTGAACAAGGATGACTAATGTTTTCGTAGGATGTACCCCAAAGCAGAAATAGTCTTTCCTGGTTTCTATACGTCCAATGTGTTCAACTACACATCACTTTGGCATCCATCTTGGGCTGCAATTCCCATCAGCAGCTAGGAATGATGGGAGCTGTAGTTCAGTATATTTAAAGGGCATCTGGTCACAGAAGTCTCAGATCTAATACAGTGAATAAATCTTGCAGGCTTTTATTTTCCTTCCCCTTTCCAGGCCGAATTTCTGTTACACCCAAAACAATGAAAAAGGAGCAGGGGTCGGGCTGTATTTTTGACCACCTTTAAAAAGACTATAGTAGATGCAATGGCGAAAAGGCCGAACATCTTGTTCCAGAATTAAAACTGAAGCTTTTCTTTCATGACTTCTGACTTAGCATCTTGGGGAAGGGAGGGTACTCTATCTGGGTGGGAGGGGTCCATACTATCCGCTCTCCTCCTCCAGAAGATGCAAGTGGTACTTGGATGCTTTCTCTTTCCTTTACCTCTTGTGAGGAAACTAGGGTTAATTTCTGAATATCATGCAACTTGGTTGGGAATAGGGCTCTCCTCTGATTTTTGACTGTATGGAATGATCTAAATGCTTTAAGTCCAATAATTTTGTTACAGGAACTAATTTATGCTAATTAAATATGGCAAGTGTGTTTTTTGGGGGTATTATAAAACATGTTTAACATTAGTTCTCAGACATTCTGAGAAGGATCTGCTGCCCAGCTGTTCCAGAAGTGATCAGAAAAGCCATTCCTAAATACAGAATGTATGCCTCTCTCTGCCCAGTCTATAAACCCAGAGGTCAGCTCCACTGTGGCTTCCTGTTCCCATAACTTGAGGCTGGTTTGAATATACTAGTTTCTGTTTATTGAGAAGAACGCTGAAAGCTGAAGGAGGCTGGTTGTTTTCTATTGGTCTGAAGCTATTTTAAGAATGATGAAAGATTGTACAGGCAGTGCTTGACTTACAACCATTCATTCAGAGACTGTTTGGAGTTACAACGGCACTGAAACAATATGATCTATGATTTTTCACACTTACGGCCATTGCAGCATCACGTAATAGAATTCAGATGCTTGGCAACTGGCATGTATTTATGACTGTTGCTATATCCCCCAAGGTCATGTGATCACCTTTTGTACTCTTCTGACAAGCAAAGTCAGTGGGGAATCCAGATTCACTTAACGGTGTTACTAACTTAACTGCAGTGGTTCACTTAACAAAGGTCGTAAAATGGGGCAAAACTCAACACCTGTCTTGCTTAGCAACAGACATTTTGGGCTCAATTATGGTCGTAAGTCAA